CTCTCCTGTGTGAAGGCGGAGTGTGTGTGTATGTGTGTGTGTGTGTGTGTGTGTGTGTGTGAGAGAGAGAGAGAGAGAGAGTGAGTGAGTGAGTGAGTGAGTGAGTGAGTGAGTGAGTGAGTGTGTGTGTGTGTGTGAGTGTGTGTGTGAGTGTGCGTGCGTATGGTATGTGTGTGTATGTGAGTATGTGTGTGCGATGTTTGGTGGTGTGCATGCGTATGGTGTGTGTGTGTGTGTGTGTGTTTGTGTGTGTGTGTGTGTGTTTTGCATGCTAAACATGATTGGTGATCGGTTTTCATGTTAAATAGTGATTGAGAGAGTGAGAATGATTTTAACTCGCTAGTAGCAATATTCCAGCAATATCACGGCGGGGGACACCAGAAATGGGGAATCGAACCCGGGTCTTCGGCGTGAATAAAGAAGGCTTTAGCCACTGTTAATATGTTTTATGTTAAATTGTACACCTTCCCTTTTCCACAAAGTACGTGTCCACGGTTGATACGCACTGTAAAATGATTAATCGGTTGGTATATGTTCTTAAAATCGGAAATCTTATTCTCATTACGTAGGTGATTTTATAACTAGGGGCACAACATGTGTTCGGAACATAATATTTTTTTATTAAAATTAATTTTTGTCTTTAAAATATTGTTGTTGATATTTGAGCTTTATCTTAAAATAGTCTGCAGTTACGGCAGATAAATGATGTGTACTGAATCCATGGCATTACCAAATGCATTATAGTTAACCATTTTGGGTATCAAATGAATAATTTGTTATGTTTTTACTTCGAACCCAGTGTTTCTCAGTCTGTGTTTTGGAAGTTGACGTCCTTGCTAAACTCCACTTTTGGATTACGGACTTGTACATTTCCCTTGTCGATGTTGACCTGGTACACGACTTATGTAACTTTCATTTCCTACCCAATGGCACTAAAGCGGATATGTTTGAACTCAGGTCAGGTAAGGTTGTTTTACAAGATGTACCTGATATCACTTAGAGGTGTGGGAGGAAGGTTAAGGTTCATGAGGGATGTAGTCTGTGTCTTGCCCCTATGTGTTGTTTATGCTCACTACATGCTAGCAATAAACCATTCCCACACGTCTTAACGATTGCAGTATCCACAACGATGTCCCTCATATTGATTATCCGGTAAATATATATTTCTTTCGTCATTTCTTCGATGCAGACCAAATCCAAAACACCACCCCTACATTGTTAGCACAGGCACCGGTTTAATACAGAACCGCATCTCTCCGTTCGGCAAATGCTACTTTTAAAAACCTTAGTGTCAGTCTTATACACATGGTGGTACAAGCAAAGACCAGATTAAACATACTGATCCCTCTGAGCCGTTGTTTATAAATTCCTGAGCGAAGAGTCCGATACATTCGGTTGGACTAAAAACCCTGTTCACTTATCTAAACATGGCCAAGTTGGGAATAATGATTCTATTTGAATTTTTATTATTTACCCTTAATCTTAGAGTGGGCCTCGTGCGGGTCCAACTACTAGCCCGAGGTATTGCCGCGGTGACCGTATCAACAACGCTGGACATATTAGTTTGGACTCCCTCCACACCTGGCACTACAGCCAACTCTACCCCGTCCATACTTGCTCGTATTCAAGAGTATCTCAAACTGGAAATAATCATTCTGGTACTCATGTTCATTTTTGTCCTCATGTTGAGTCTAAACACACATAAAATCAACGCACTCCTATTGGTGTTTGTCGGGCACCAAGTCTGTTCGCATGAAAGTGGACGATATCAGTGCCCCAGCCCTTGTTCTGTCCCTCTCAGACCAGGAGTATCCGTGTTCATCCATGGATATTTTTTTAATGTGAAGTATACACGATATACGGCTTTTCCATTGGACGAGAGGTCGGTCACATGGCCGCGAAATTGACGTTCGTAGGTATATGAACACAATTTGACGTTCATGCGTTTTTCACGAGACTGTATTCTTGAAATGACGTAAACACTAACGGACTACTTCCACATTCATGGAAAACCCCTCGGAATTCCCTCGCACGAATACATACATAACCATTGTTTCTGATCATTTAGACCCTTAATCTTGAACTCGGCGTTTTAGCATACATTGAAAAACGCCAGAGACATTGGCTTTGAAAATCTTCGCTACGACCCAACCACTGAACAAAACGACAAAAATGTACTTTCGACTCAATCCGTGTCTAGACTGACAGTGACAGTCGATAGCGACCTATGAATTTACCTCAGTATCTATTCTCACATCTTTATGATCACATTTCAATGATCGGCCAATTGATCAATGATGTAGCCACAGGTTCATGAACAACTTCGGTCATTTTGACGCCTTGTACTTGATGTGTTACACTGTGTAGCATTCTCTATTTTTAGAAATCAATTCATCTAGTCGTTGCATATTTTCAGAATATGCAAGAGAAGAGTACCGTAGCAAGAATTAGGGATTAAGAAAATAGATACATTACATTGATTTGGTAAATTCAATTGAAGTTGTCAAAGTTTCTGGCTAAGAAATGACTGACGCGAAATCACGCACAACGACAGCGCTTTTTATCGGCTTTTGTGACTATTTCTCTTGGTTACAAAGAAAAACATAAAAAATATCAATACCCAGATTGTCATTATATTTCTGACTACTTACATGGTACATCTATGCATGTACGATCCCTGAATCAACGAAAATCCGCACGTAAAATCACGCATTGTGATGTCATTTGACACAGGGACCCTTTTGTAAAAGTTGATCACCGGTTGTGATGTCATGTGTCAACGTATGTTGTCCATATTTGGTAACTTCTTTGAGGTGAAAGTAGGGTGAAAACAAAAGTAATTTCTGATGTTAAATTAATAAAAGTAACAATGAGTTGGGTTTTTTTAATTTATGGATTGGAACTACTTTGCTTTTCAGAAGTGTGAAGCATATATCCGCTAGTGTGTTACTGCATTCCAATATATAGAAGATATCTCAGGTGTCTCGTGAAATATTATGTTTCTCCCATTGAGTGACGGGGACAAGGAGATATTTCTTTTCCTTCGTCACGAGATGAGAAAACATTATATTTCAAGAGACACATGGAATGTCCTATTTATCATATACTTTTTGTGTTGACTGCAAGAAAATGTTGTTGTTTTTATTACAAATATTAAGCCTTGAAACGGAAATGAACCCTACCTAACACGCAGGGATGTTTCACTACCCTTTGTTATTGCGACCTGAAAAGTAGTTCCGAGTTTGCAAAATCTTAAAAAGTACAAGGTCACTTTAAATCTTTATCATACACATGAATATGATTATATACAAAATCAACTTTAAAAAATTATTCTTGAAAGCTGTTGTAAGCGAAAGAATACACGTTGATCAAGTAACAAAAAAGACGAAGTCTCGATTGACGATTAAAATGAGAAAATTACATAGTTTATAACCAAAAATTATCAAGAGAATAGCAAACGGCAAGAAGCGACATTAACTCCATAAATAACCATCTGACCATTATTTTGCCTTGTCAATGCGGAACTAACGTAAAAAGGAAGACAACAGTTTGTGTACAGGAGATATACTTACGATAAAAGGAGACATTTTGCGAGGAGTGAGTGAGTGAGTGAGTTGGGTTTAACGCCGCTTTTAACAATATTCCAGTTAAAACACGACGTGTGAGCTTAATGTGGGAGGAAAGCCCGAAGTGGTGCAGGTCTCAGACGTTTACCACTTCGGTGAAACCCACGAGCACGGGTATGGTGCTGACAAACCTAGAAACATAGTCGGGGCCACTTTTGCACTGGCTAGAACATAAATGCTGGCCACGGGCGACTGTCCAAAAAGGGAATGAGTGAGGATATATCCTGATGATCACTGGCTTAGACACATGGGGGCTGCAGAAGAGGTATAATCGGTCTTGCTATATAACGTTTTTGGGACCATGGTCTGGAATGTCAGTTATGTTAAAGAGATAAATATATTATTGTGAACCAGGGCGAGTTGGGCCGACTGAAACTGAGAGCCAGAGCTGCACCTCCGTTGTGACAGTACCTCAATAAATCGTTGTGGACCCACAGACGGAGTTGTGTCGTGAATAGATGATTTTAAGAAGTATCCCCTAGAACAGAACATTCTGTTCGGCGGATATTGTTATTAACATTTCCTGACCATTTCGAAGGCATTCAATTGGTTTTTTTATGTTCCATTACAATGTGTTGCGTTGTAGGCAGTGATCCGTACCATATATTGCGTTTGTATATCACATGTTATACAGAATCACCCTGTGCCAGCAACCGAAAGGGCGAATGACGAAGGACGAAGGTCCATACCATAAGTTCTATTGATGCTGTCAGCAGGTAATTACACTATGGTATTTATAACACTTTCGGTCACCGCTCACACACCAAAGGTTCCCTATTTCAAATCAGATTATGGTGCTCTGCACGCTTTTGTTTGTGTTTTTAACGCCACAATCAGCAATACTCCAGCTATCTCAGGGCTGCCATTAAATAATCGTCTCTGGACAAGGCAAACCATGCAATGACTTAAAGCACGAGCAACGATCCGCACAGTCAGTGACAGCAAGTCACATGAGCCTCTCAAAACAACCAATAGATAGATGGGAAAACTTGTTCATTCCTACTCTGGTCCACACGGGTACGTCTACACAAAGAAATATATGTCTAGTAATATATTTCCACAACATCAGGTACAACGGGAAATAACACACTTTTATACGGAAATATTATCGAGCGAAACTGAATCTTGTTACCCCTTACAAACAAATCACAATCGCTGTCTGTCAGTATTAACTCAACACAGCGGCGACTATGTTTCTGTTTTACGTTGTGGCCGGAGGACTATTTGAGTGTGGTATGTATCTGTCTTCGTATATATTATATTGAGCTGTGCTTAAATCCTATTTTGCTTTAATAATTCGCAACATTAATATTTCTATCTACTCTTAACAAACATAATGGTGTATGGTGTTTATTTGTTTTGTGTGCAGCTCTTGCTTCCGTGACAGCTGACTACCGACACACTGTCACACGTCCTGGCTACGATGTTGACATGACCATGAACCCAGCTAATGTCAGCTACCTATATAACGTATGTGTGAATGGTTCGGTAAATGAAGTACTGTTAGTGGTCGTGCCTAAGTCACACCGAGTAAAAGTACGCAACACCAGTCACATCGGCTACACGACCAGGATCAGATACATAGGGCAGGACTCACCATCACAGACCGGACAGCTGAGGTTTACCATCTACAATGTTACTGTACAGGACGCTGGTACCTACTACTGTCAAGGAAGCAGAAAGCAGATAGTACTTGGATGTAGGCAGATCCTCGTTGTATTACGTAAGTATTATATGGGATCAACAGAAGAATATTCCAAGAAATGAAAGTGCATTAAGCTGCATTGCGGTAATAAATAAACAATGTCAGAAAGAAATCACTGGTAGCAGAGGCTTCAGTTGTGAAGGAAGTAAAACCGTTAGGAGTATAAAGATAGGAGTGGGATATTACTTTTTAATGTTTCATACACATTGGGTTAGGAGTGTTTAGGTGTTTTGCATGGCGACATCATGGACGTCACATTTATCACTTGTGCCGTTGTGTCATTATCGCTATCCTTCGGAATTGTAAGATTTAAAAAAAAAGCTGCCATGGCCTCCAAGATAAATTTTACGGAACAACATATTGAAGATAAGAACTGAAGAACGTACTGATTCCCTCAACAGAAAGGTGAATTGGAACTTGATATTTCAATTTGAGATATAACGATTGAAGACTGACATGATCTGGGGAAATGCACTCAAACGGCCGTTGGTTATAAGATAAATAGAGATGGCGTAATATCATGTCCAATACATCATGATAAAACATTTTTAATTTCGATTTCCATTTACTTGGTGAGGTGGGGTAGCATAGTTGTTAAAGCTTTCGCTCGTCACGCTGAAGACCCGGGTTCGATTCCCTACATGGCTACAATATGTGACGACCGTTTCTCGTGTCCCTCGCCGTGATATTGCTGGAATATTCCTAAAAACGACGTAAACCATACTCACTCATTTACTCTATGTACTTGATATATGAAACGACGCAATATTATGGCCCTGGTTTAATTTTGAAATATTCATAATATACTCAACAGGTAAATAATGAGAATGGGTTTCGAATGCTACCGTAATGAAAACATCAACACAACACAGTAAAGCCTTGTTTATTGACACTTGTGTTATGGTCCTAGAACTGTGGTTTAACACGTTGAAAGATCAATATATTTAACAGAGAAGCCGACCACACCTTCCATCACAGGACCTGCCTCAGCTGTATCAGGTGAGAATGTCACCCTGACATGCTCCTCCTCCCGGAGTCTGCCCCTGGACCACCCCCAACTGGCCATGACCTACACCTGGAGGAGGAACAGGACCCTGCTGGAATCTGGTGATGGGTCTGACACAGGCGGAGATGTCCTGACAATAACCCACATCAGCAGAGAGAACCAGGGAGACATCTACACCTGCCAGGCTGTGGAGGAGGGGCTGGAGTCTGACTGGAGTCACGGACATGTACTGGAGGTTCACTGTGAGTAAGAACGTACCTTATTTAGGATATAAGACGAAAATATACCTCATCTTTTCAACTGCGGTCGTGAGTGACAGTTTTGTAAGAACTGTGTTGGCTGAAGTAATATGTGTTGTGTACAAAGAGCCTTCATACCCTGAATTATTATTTTCAAAGTATGTTGGCGGGTCGGATCAGGATAAATAGCCAAAGTTTCAGCTTCATGGGTCTACAGTTTCAGAGGACATACCGAACATGCATGATCGCTATGAAAATAGTGTCACCTGTAGCTCACCTGGATATGTTGTCCAGAGTTATTATTTTCAACAAAGACAGACACTTAACACTCAGTATAAATACAGGGGTTCAACACCTAATGCTAAACTATATAGTTTGAACGGCATATGATTACATCATAAGAAGACGCATGGATCCTTAAGTTCATATTCCTCAGTCTGGCAATTTCAGAGAATGATACAGAGTCAAATATGCATGTTTTGAGAATGTATGAGCTTGGTAAAACAGGAAGGTGAAAACAGAGGTCAAATTTTATAATATTGCGAAAACCGGAACGTATGAGACCCACTATCAACTAAACATATACCAAGTTTATGACATTTAGAACAAACATTGCTGAGTAGTGGTCATATACCGACCAACGTGTTGGTATGTAGAGAATCTCACTCGAGTTTCTTTTGATATCAAATATATCAACACGAGTTGATAAAAGTGGAAAAATTCCGAGGATTGCCGAGGATGTTTGCCACTTTTATCAACTCGTGTTGATATATTTGATATCAAAAGACACGAGGGTGATATTATATTTATCATCCTTCATCATTCTTCCAACTTTTTCAATTAGTAGACAGTAATTAGCAGTGTCTTCAGTGTAAAAAGTACTGCTAACAGCTTCAGTAGCAGAGCCATTAGTGATGTCATTTGATGAAATGAAATTACATCACAATGCTTTGCAGACCATTGTGACGTCACTGGTTGACGTCACAATGGTCTGCAAAGCATTGTGATGTAATTTCTTTGCAGCGATATCTACAGTGTAGATAACGCTTGATCTAATCCAAGCTTTATCTCCTGTGGGAGCCAGTTTTGGATGATAAAATGATGAGAACGATATCTCAGGTTCCTGATTGTGTCATTTATGGACCATGAACATAGAAGGGTAGCACCGGATCCTATTTCCCATTACACTGCGATATGTGCTTTCTGCATTCCCTGTCTGAGAAAACTTTCCGCTTGAGTACATTCTACCTGGAAGAATTCCTTGCAGGTACCATTAAATATGTACGCCATATGCACTGTTGCTAATCACCAATTAAACGATCCCTTTTTTGTCAGTGTGAAATTATAAACTGGGCCTCGTCCGACGTCCCTTGTCCACAGGGCGGTCCGTCTGTTAGCAATGAAACTTATTCTACTCCAGATTTATTGAACATATCAATTTCATGTTCACATACCAGGTTCTTCATCCACGTTCTTCTTGGAAGCTCGACAAATTCAAATGTCCACCGCAGCAGAACATTTTAAAATTTAGGTAAATCTTAGTGCCAATCTCCTCTCCACAGAAAACGTTGGATATATTCTTTACAACACTTCAGAGGACCCGCCTTAAACATGAGTGAGTGAATATGGTTTTACGCCGCTTTTAGCAATATTCCAGCAATATCACGGCAGGGGACACCAGAAATGAGCTTCACACATTGTACCAATGTGGGAATCGAACCCGAGTCTTCTACGTGACGAGCGAACGTTTAAACCACTAGGCTACCTCGCCACCCGTCTTAAACATGAAATAAGATCTTGTCATTGCACATGTCACAACGAAAACATTTGTAATATGTTGACTATCCAATTTTGTCTGTCACGTACGTCCTGCACCAGCATACTCTTAAGCAACCCTAAATATTTAGAAGTGATTACACTGTAATCGACCATGGAAATTACAGCGCTTCCTCTTTCTCAACCTTTCACTGTACCGCTCCTTTTCATCCGTCCTTCCAGGGCCCAGTCGTCTTAGGCACCGCGATTTGCTGTGCAGAGTTGCGTCCCTTGGGCACACCAGAAACCATTGATTGTTGGTTCGATTAGGTTTCTAGCTTTGTCAGCACCATACCCGTGCTCGTGGGTTTCACCGAAGTGGTAAACGTCTGAGACCTGCACCACTTCGGGTTTTCCTCCCACATTAAGGTCACACGTCGTGTTTTAACTGGAATATTGTTAAAAGCGGCGTTAAACCCAACTCACTCACTCACTCACTCCTCGCAAAATGTCTCCCTTTATCGTAAGTATATCTCCTGTACACAAACTGTTATCTTTTTTTTTTACGTTAGTTCCGCATTGACAAGGCAAAATAATGTCACTCACTCACTCACTCACTCACTCACTCACTCACTCACTCACTCACTCCCAATCTTACCCGACCGCCTCTGTGGTCTAGTGGTAGAGCGTCCGCCCGGAGAGCGGAAGGTCCGGGGTTCGATCCCCGGCCGCGTCATACCAAAAGACGTTAAAAGATGGTACTTGTTGTTACCCTGTCTGGCGTTCGGCATTAAGGGGCTAAAACAAGGACTGGTCGGCTCGGAGTCAGTAAACTGTGTCTGAGTGGGGTATTCATGTTAAACTGCGGCATGGTATCTCAGTGAGCTAGCACTATAAATCGGCATCAGTCCGGCCTAGTACAAGCAGCCACACAAACACACACACACGTACATGCACGTCGCTATATAAGTGCAATAATCTTGGACGCGACGTTAAACCCCATTTCACCTCACCTCACCTCACCAATCTTACCCCTCCCCCTTGTACAATAATGGCCCCTCCGTCACATGTGTATTTCCAGTAGTTACACACGTACATGTCACAGAAACAATGTGCACATGTTTATCTTGCTATTCACACACATATATTACAAAACCAAACTGTACGCGTACATCACATTGTTTAGGATCAGAAGGATTCGCTGTCGCGTGCAGTAGCGTTTTCCGTTTAGCTGGTGATACAGTGTGGAACTACTGACCATAGTACATCAAACATTCCAGACGGACCTGACCAGATAAAGTTTAACGGCGCAAGTGACAGGCTAAAGGCAGAAGAAGGTGACCCTCTCACAGTGAGATGTTCTGCTGAATGTAACCCCGCCTGCACTGTGACCTGGTGGGACACATCCAGACAGAGGGTGATCCCGGGACAGAGGGAGGCTGTGTTGTATATACCAGCTGTAGACAGATCTGTGCCTGGACAGTACACGTGTCACGTCAACAACACGCAAGGGAATAAATCACGGATCCTGACGCTTGAAGATTTCTGTAAGACTCCTACAACATTGCTGGTGATAGACAGAATCTGTAACATTTATTTGGATAACTCCTGTAATAACCAATTTCATTTTCATTCATTTCAACTTTCTCTAATCCCACAGAGATGATAAATCATTTAAACAGATAATATTGACTATATTCTGATGATGTGACATCACGTCAATGTGATTCTTGAGATTCTTTCAAATGGCAAAGCGTTTCTGTTCATTCAAAATCAATGTTACAAAGATCTGTATTAAAGACAGAAATCGATTGTTTATTTACTACCTAATTCGACAAACGAAACTGTTCCGATAACTCGTAAGATTTGCGACAATTTTGCTGAAGTTCACCACATTTACAAATTAAAGTGACTGCTTATTCCATATGTAATATATCGGAAACATTAGAATCCTAAACAATGCTTTTGTTATTTATTAAATGTTCTGGCACGTGAGGTTACTAAAGCTTTTGTCGCTCCCATCGTCGTGGGTTTCACGGAAGTGGCAAACATCTAAGACCTACATCACTTCGGGCTTTCCTACAACACAAAGCCGATACACCGTGATAATACTGGAATCATGTTAAAATCGTTGTTATACCCAACTCACTCACTCACTCACTCACTCACTCACTCACTCACTCACTCACTCACTCACTAATTCACTCACTCACTCACTCACACACTCCCCATCCTACCCCTCCCCCTTGTACAATATTGGCCCCTCCATCACATGTGTACTTCCAGTAGTCACACATGTACATGTCACAGAAACAAACTGCACATGTTTATCTCGCTATTAACACATATATTATAAAACCAAACTGTACGCGTACACAGTATTGAGGATCAATTTGAACCGCCATCACGTTCAGTAGCATTTTCCGTTGTTAGCTGGTGATACAGTGTGGGACTTCTGACCATAGCACATCAAACATTCCAGATGGACCTGACCAGATAAAGTTTAACGACGCAAGTGACAGGCTAAAGGCAGACGAAGGTGACCCTCTCACAGTGAGATGTTCTGCTGAATGTAACCCCGCCTGCACTGTGACCTGGTGGGACACATCCGGACAGAGGGTGATCACGGGACAGAGGGAGGCTGTGTTGTATATACCAGCTGTAGACAGATCTGTGTCTGGACAGTACACCTGTCACGTCAACAATACATATGGGAATATATCACGGAACCTGACGCTGGAAGATTTCTGTAAGACTCCTACAACATTGCTGGTGATAGACAGAATCTGTAACATTTATTTGGATAACTCCTGTAATAACCAATTTCATTTTATTATTCATTTCAACTTTCTCTAAACGCACATAGATGATTAATAATTTAAACAGGTAATATTGACTATATTCTGATGATGTGACATCACGTCAATGTGATTCTTGAGATTCTTTCAAATGGCAAAGCGTTTCTGTTCATTCAAAATCAACTTAACAAAGATCTGTTTTAAAGACAGAAATCGATTGTTTATTTACTACCTAATTCGACAAACGAAACTGTTCCGATAACTCGAATGATTTGCAACAATTTAACTGAAGTTCACCACATTTACAAATTAAAGTGGCTCCTTATTCCATGTGTTATATATCGGAAACATTAGAATCCTAAACAATGCTTTTGTTATTTATTAAATGTTCCAGCACTTGAGGTTACTAAAGCTGGTGTCGCTCCCATCGTCGTGGGTTTCACCAAAGTGGCAAACGTCTAAGACCTGCATCACTTCGGGCTTTCCTACCACACAAAGCCGACCCACCGTGATAATACTGGAATAATGTTAAAAGCGGCGTTATACCCAACTCACTCACTCACTCACTCACTCTCCCATTCATCCCTTCTTTCCCATCCTACCCCTCCCTCTTGTACAACATTGACCCATGCCACATGTGTATTTCCAGTAGTCATACACATGTCAGAAACAAACCGCACGTTTAATTCGCTATTAACACATATGTTACAAAACCAAACTTTACGTGTACATCACAGTATTTAGGGAGGCTGTGTTGTATATACCAGCTGTAGACACATCTGTGTCTGGACAGTACATCTGTCACGTCAACAACAGATATGGGAATACATCATGGAACCTGACCCTGGAAGTGTTCTGTAAGACTCCTAAAACATTAGCGACAGACTTTAGTAACAGAATCAGTGGCATGCAAACATTTATTTGGATAAAGAAACCATGATTGATAACACGATCAGTCATCTCAGCTGCCGTAAATGCTGTTGTCGCGAAATTTCAGAGTTATTATTGAAACGAGTATGTCATTAATGCATTATTTAAATTACCATGTGACACATAAATATTCAACCTTATTCCGTGTGAAACATAGCTTATTCAGTATAAGGCTACCGATAAGCACAACAAGAAAAAACACTACACCTGGCAAAACATGTGCAGATACAGAATAGCTCTGGTATGATATATTCCGAGGATCAGCCGTTCTCATTGTACCACACACACACACACACACACACACACACACACACACACACACACACAATAAACTGCGAGTATTGCATCTTGAATGTTCCAGCACGAGAGGTTACTGGAGTTGGCGTCGCTTCGACCGTCCATGTGGCTGCTGTCTGTTCTGTCCTGATCGTCGTCACCGCTGTGGTCGTCATATTTCTTGCTCGTAGAAAACAGACACGTGAAGGTAATACTGTGTGGTGTGAGTGTGAATGAGCACAACGTGAGAGTCACATTAAGTATTCTGCCATAATATTTTAGAATCCTGCATTCTGATTGGTCCCCAGCAGTATTGGATCCACTTTAGGCCATGAAGCCCATATTACCGCGAACAAAATATTCAGAAGCACTTTTTGGGAAAACCCGCCCGTTTGGCAATTTCAAATATGGATCTCACTTCATTAACGTTGATAAATAACGTGTTGCGGTTTCTACATTATGACCAGTTAATGTGGCAGTATATTTCAGGAGACACACGTTAAAACAAATATTTAGAGAGTGTAAAGAGTTATCGCGTTCGGTTTCGAATATATGTTACAAGTTTCAAATCTACGTTCGAAAGCTCTATATCAAACACTCTAGGTTTATCTTCTTAATGAATACTTGAATGAACTGGTTGTTTGCACATCCACCAGGCATTGTTGGCCGTTGCTCACATTAGTGACCATTGATTAAGATATCAGAAACCGCCCTTCAGTTTCGTGAACTACGAATGAGTCCTGTTTTCAGCTGATAGATTCATGTCAATGAAACAATTATTTTTCCTGACCTAAATTGTACAAGATATTCTGGGTTTAAAATTCTTCCTGGAGTTTAATGTAATCACGGTATGTGGTGTGTACAACTAAGTGTGTGTGTCATCACGCGGGAATAGTTCGAGTCTCAATATTAAAGTAGAATCAATAAAATGAAAAAAATGAACAATACGATATACGCGAAACAAGGACGGTATTGTTGTGTTCACTATTTAATGGGATGAATAGCTGTGTAAGGTTGTTGTTGTTGTTATTGTTGTTTTTGTTAACCGCAGTGTCATACCATTAGAACAACATGAAAATGACGGTTTTGGTGAGGGTAGTGTGTGTCTGGTTTGGGAGGGGGATTGTAAAGATCATCATTGTTATTAATATTACTGGTTCTTATCAGTTATTTAGGTTTCTTCCTTGTCGTTGACTTTGAATAAACGAAAAGACGGCTATGATTCAAAACCAAGTCTGTGTGAGGAAAGTGAGTCTGACACCAGCGTTTAAGGAAGAGTATTACCACTGAGATTATATGCATAACCTTTCACTCTCGTAAATACAGTAGGTCAGACACGATGTTAAGAATGGAATAAAATAAATATATATTATCATTTCACAGGTACGCAATGAAATAATTAATTAGTCTATCTTCTATTTATCTTGAAATATGTATCCATAATTATCTAAAGACATTTCTAACTTTCAGAGAGTGGATACATTCATAACCGGTGAGTACATGCTGTCCATCATGTCACTGACCTTGCATAGTCAGATGAATAAAACTATATATACAGTTAAACTGATAGTGTATCACAGATTATCTGATGACTAGTTTGCCTTGATTAGTTCTTTCTGCTTTGATCATTTTGAATTCCTTTCCCTCAGTGTGGTCACATATACCCGGGACGAGGAAACAGACGGAAGCTACCAGGAAATAGAAGGTTGGTGTCGTAAATATTAATTAGTCATTCAACGCCATTGCAATTATATCGGATTACGCTTCTTAAATTTTACAGGGTAATCGCGAATCATTTACTGAATAGTGTAATCAACCGTTTCTTGAAAACAGTTTTTTATTCTTTGATTTGGATAACTTTTAATGGACATACTGTTAAGTCATAACTTAACACTAACATTAATTTGTTTCTGTCGTCAAGTTGTAACTTCTGAGAAACGTTAAGCACTGATTGACCTTTTAAAATCATAAGCCACACTGGCTCTTTTACCCCAGTGCAGCTTTATCTAAACTTCTTAATCGCGTAAGTGGAAACGAGTCACATATCACAGCATACTTCAACCTATTTACCATTAGTTTAAAGGTATGCAATGACAAGGAGTCATCTGTTATTCATCTTGCATTTTGTATACATAATTACCTGCCCAACGTTATAATTTTCAGAGGGAGGATCCATTCAAAATCGGTGAGTATCTGCCATCGATCTTCAAGTGAAATGAATAAAAAGTTACTCTGATATGGCCTTGCGTGGCCATAACGGCGAAACTCTATACAAGCTGTTTAACACAATGTAACTTGAAAATGTATCACAGCTTATCTGTAGGCTAACTTGTCTCTTATTTCAATCTTTTTTAATATTCATTGTCACCAGCGTGGTCTCATTTGCCCGGGATGAGGACAAAGATGGGAGCTACCAGGAGATAGAAGGTTGGTGTCTTTAGGTTGTCTACGGGTTTGATGGTGTAATGACCAGGGCCCACTTGCACAAAGCGATCTTAGCGCTAAGACTATCGTAAGCCTATGTTAAAGTATGGGAGTTACGATCACGAATATTGTAAGCCTATGTTAAAGTACGGTAGTACGGTAGCGCTAAGATCGCTTTGTGCAAGTGGGCCCTGATCTAACGACTTATTATAAGTCAACCTATCTCCCATCTAAAGCCGAAAGGCTAAGACCAGGGCCCAGTTGCACAAAGGGATCTTAGCGCTACCGTACTACCGTACTTTAACATAGGCTTACAATATTCGTAGCACTAAGATCGTTTTGTGCAAGTTGGCCAAGGAGTCAAATCATCAAGGATGGCATAGACGTGTAAGACGAGAGGAAAATAATTACCATTTGCTGAAAGGCATTCATGGAATGCTACTGGACATTAAATAATTAGAGAAACACATTAACGGGTTAAAAATAACTTTGCTTCATATAAATTCTGAATTTAAATAATGCATCTTTCAAAACATATCCATATCCATATCCATTTTCATGCACGGCGCACAATTTGAATATTTGTTTGGAGCATGATACTCACACATGTAAACAGTTCACAATGAATGTTTTGCTGTCAGTTGCTCATAAAATTAACGTCCACGTGCCGTGGGTAAGCCGCGAACAAGAATGGCGCAAAACGAAGTTGGACGACACTTTAATGTTCTCCGAAACACAATATTATTTCTATTGAGACGTTGTCTAGAGCAGCGCAACACTAATGTCACGTGTGACTTCACGTCAACAAAACAAGCAATTCGGTTTGTGTATCGACGGAATCGATACCAAACTGCCACATGAACAGCTCGGGCATTTCTTTGGTTGAGACCAACTAGGGCGCAGCCGGTTCAGGGAGCACAATCTTTGCTTGACATTAGGAACAACATCCCAAGTTTGTATTCAATCATCTGGCGTCTTCAAGGCGTCGTCGCTGCCTCGCATGCATCAACGCAAATGGTGGTCACACCCCGTTGTTAACAATGAGTGTTTACAGCACCCCTTTTTTAGGGCGTGTTTCTCTGTCTCCTTTTCCCAATTATGGGTTTTGTGAATGAATTTGTTATGATACAAAATTGGTCAGACGAATGTCCAAACAATATTCAATTTTTAATTAGGTAACATTTACATCACTCCATATGAAGCACAGTTATTTTTTCCCGTGAGTATACATATATGCGAACGTTCTTATCTATTTGTGAAAGAGTTTTATAGATGTTACTGTTCCGCATTGTAAGTAAATATATTTAAACAAATGTTTTATTATACTTTTCTGCGAAATGATTACCTGATTACCTAAAATGCACACAAATCCCTTGATTATTCATTTGGATATTTAGATGAAACAATAACAATTATTCAATAACCATCATAAAATAGGGTAAATAGTCTTCATATATCAGTAGACATCCCGCAGTCATATCGTGTTATTTAAAAGCCTTAATATGATCTCTTGATGACACCTTTTAACATATTAGTGAGCCATCATGAATCATGACCTGGGTTATGTAATACGCCATGTTCGAGAAACGGATAGTTGTATTGGTCATACGCATTGTCATTTCATACGACATTAATCCCTAATGTTTGGGATATGTCACTGCACGGTAGACATTTTCCTGTGAAGTATCATATTGACATTAAATGTGTAACTTTTGTCTTACACCAGAAGAGGTGAACGTAGACGACATCGCCCCTCTTGTAGCTGTCTACTCTGTTATGCTCACGGCTGTGGCGGTTGTGGTGGCATCAGTTGCTATTCTTGTCTGCAAGGACGTAAAAGGTAAGAAAACAAATTGCTCTCTTACAATTTCATCAACCTTATGTTCACCTTTTGTCAAGTATTTAGAAACGCTGAAGTCCTGTTTCGTCAGTGTTGTCTATTTGGTGAAAATATATGTTTTGCGCGAAGTTTCATTCGTTAAAGATTTGACACGTACAACGTTTCTTTACTTTCAGATGGTCACAGCAGAAGGTACATACATTTTGTATTGTTGCAGGTGAAATACTTGAGATGTATGTTATAATGAGGTCTCAGAGTAACTTCATATCATTGGAAAAAACCACCGATATTACTCCTGTTTCTATTTAATGTGAAGCGACATAATTTTGAGTTACCTGAGACAATGATAATACAATAGTTAAATAAAACAATGGCTGTATTTTAAATTGTAACTTGTGATGGTAATTACTGAAATGAATGTATGCTATGTATGTTGGTTTTTTTACACAAGGGTGGGAAAATGTGGTTAAAGTTGTGTTTGTTTGAAGTCGGAGATGGATAATTTGTTAGGAACAAAAAGGTTTCCTTTCATATAATAGGTTGTTTTGCAAGCCGCATTTAAACAAAGTAATGTATCCTTCACTGTCTGTGCAAGTCAATTTTATATGTGAGGTACAATTTGTGATATACGTTTTACCTTGTAATTATAGATTTGGTGAATATCTCACTGTGGTGGGGGAGAGACTATCCTGTGGCATCAGTGATGCACCTCGTGCTGCCATCAACGACGAGGATGCCTTATGCTTGCATGATTATGAGCGACTACTGAGGGAACAATTCCACATCTACACGTGTCTCAACCCTTCAGCTTCCTCTCCAGAGGACCACAGTACCAGGTAAAAAGTAGCCTGAGGTAACGTCTCTGTACCCTTCAGCTGCCTTTTCAGGGGACCAAAGTTCCAGGTGAAGCCTCATGTAAGGGAGCAGTTCCACATCCGGACGTACCTCCACCCTTCAACTGCCTCTGCTGACGACCACAGTACCAGGTGCAGCCTCAAGAAAGGGAGCAGTTCCACATCTACACGTCTCTCCACCCTCCACTTGCCTCTTCAGAGGACCACAGTACCAGGTGCAGCCTCATGTGACGGAGCAGTTCCACATCGTCACGTCTCTACCCCGTTCACCCCTTGGTGCAATGCAAGGAACCTTACGAGACCCTGACGTTTGATGGTTTCCGAATCTCGAACTGAGGACGATGTTCCATTTATGAGCTATGGTCCATTTGCTCGTATTATGGAACACGTCAGCACATTTGGTTGCCCATTGCGGAGCTTGTGAACAATCGCGTTAGCTCAATGCAATAGTGAAGGCATGAAAAAGAATGAGGAGTCTCTAATCAAATTATATATGTAGTTATTATGCATTATGGCCGCTAAGTGAGGCGGTAGCTTGCAACCTTGAAGCGTCTAACTTGTACTTCCTATACAGCATTACATGTTTCTCATCACTTTGTGAAAGTAAATACTTTAATCGATATTACATTGACGCCTTGTTTTGTATTTCTTATTTCTTACTTGTTATCAATACATTGCTCATGTTGTTATCATTATATTTTCCTTTATCTGAAACGCTATACACATAACATGGCACTTGGTAATTCATGTAATTCGCTGTTGCCATGATACAGTGATCCTAGATTCGTCCCGATTATAAATCTTTGTCAGCACCACGCCCGTGTTCGTAGGTGTCACCAAAGCTGTTAATGTCTAAATGTATTAAGGTTAGACGCCGTCATATAACTGAAATATACCTCACTCACTATGTATGGATGTCAACTTCTTTATCGTGAGGATCTCAACGTTTCGGAGTAAATGCTTACTCCTTCATCGGGTGAATGAATGCTAGGATGTAGAGATCATATATATGCACATATATACAACAAAACTAATACGATTCTGAAGGCAGAAATTTTAAAAAATGAAGCCAAAAGTCAATGTAAGCTGATAGGTGATTGGTAATGGAAAATGAAAGCCAGGAGTTTAGTTAGCACGCATTGGAATAAGCAATGAACAAATTGAAGGCAGGGAGATAATTAGCCTTGATAAGGGGATAATCAGTGGCATACGTTGGATACGTTGACTGTGTTCCTCATTATAAAAAGAATTTGACATCAATAACTTCTCTCTCTCTTATGTGTATCACTTTTAAATGCCATCCAAACACTTCAGTCACTTTTGATAGCAGGGAAATAACTCCCTCATGCATATAAACTATTGATTAATCTCTCGCTCCATCTACTTGACACTTAATGTATAACACAATAGCGAAAAGGATTAACATCTTGTGCTTTATGCTCTGGCTGTGTACTGTTACGTCCTTAAACCATTCCAGGATTCGATGATCGGGTGTTCGAATCCCGATATTGGCGGATTATGATCATTGGGTTGTGAGCAATCCACCTCTTGATTTCACCTGCACCACTATGAGACATATCCTAATAAAACCAAATAATGTCCAACACGGTGCTTAAACCTATACAAATATATAGATGTTTAGCCTGGTGGCTATTTGGAAAATTTGAAAATATTTAACGTATGTGAGTACATTAAACTGAATCAAGTTTGGAAAGCCAAAAGATCGTCACACACAAAAGTGAGAGGAAGAACAAATCATTGTCAATTTGGTCGTTAAATGAATCAAACAAACGAACGTTAGTGGATTTGCATATCTCACCATGCATGACCCTTACTCATATAACACAATGCTGTAATCCATGTACTTTCATCTTCCCATGGCAAGAGAATTAACTGACTGTAGAAGTCCAGTTTCCACCCTTGCCGAACTAGGCTGGAATTCCTGGGCTCGATCGTAGCGCCACCAGTGGTTAATTACGAGTTATGTCCCTTATAAGCCTCTCCAATGGACCAATTAGATTCCACCTCTCGTATCACTTGCATTTGTTTCACACAAAATGGCGGCGCCCAGTCAAAGACGATCTGATCGATAATCAAGATCTATATAGTGATAAAACGGGTCTTACCTCGCGGAGTGCATGAAAGCAAGTGAGCACCTTGAATGGTGAAAAGAATTGGAAAATATCTGTTGACAACGAGTTGGCGGTGCACATGCTTTGCAAATCATGCAATCGACCTGTACGACAGTTTGCAAACCGGTTTTCGATTTCGGTGCGCGATTTTGTTTGGGCTATGCATAGACTCGTTAGTCCAGCCAAAATGTTACTCCATAATACCAGACTAGTTCGGCAAGAGTGGAAACTGGACTTTTATGGTCAGTTAACTCCCTTGCCTCGGGAAGATGTGTATTTTGTAATGTCGACATGAGGACACATTTTTGACGACTCTATTTGTAACGACATATTGCCAAAACTGATGTAAGTGAAAGTAACGTACGCAGGCACGCAGGCACGCAGGCACACACGCACGCACGCACGCACGCACGCACTCACTCACTCACTACCGTAAAGGTAACCGTAAATGTAATTGAAGGCAGCGGCGACGCATTGAAGACGCCAGATGATTGAATACAACCTGGGGATGTTGTTCCAAATGTCAAGCAAAGATTGGCCAACTGAGATAGCGTCACAGCTAGTTCTGGGTCTGCCGTAGGCGATGCTTTAACTTATCCCAGACATATTCTATAGGGGAGAGGTCTTGAGATAGTGTCCTCAGAAACTAGGTTACAATACGTGTAACATGTGGGCCGTCATAATCCTGCTGCAACGTGATGTTTCGTCCTTGGATTTGCACCAAGGGAAAACCGTAATCTTGAACGATGTTGTCGAAGTAGCCATTAAAATTGCCATTGATAATGATGAGTTGTGTTCCCCCATGAGTTGTGATGTTTCTGAAAACAACATGCCATGGAAGGGTTATTAAGTTGTCTCCCTTTAAATGGAGGTTGACTTTCAATCAAGCAGTTGAAATATGTCATTATTAACTCAACACCCTGATCACAATGTTTCTGTTTTACATTATAGCAGGAGGTCTATATTAACTTGGCATTATATAAAGCTGTCCCAATTCTGTTGACTTTCTTAATAATTTGCAACATTACGTATACTGTTAATATGCTTTAGTTTTAATGATGATCATTTGTTTCTTGTGCAGCTCTTGCCTCCGACATCTGACTACCGACACACTGTTAGTGTTACACGAGCTGGCTCAGAATGATACAAATATATCTATATGAACTTAAAATAATTGTAAATTCTCAATTTCAGTGTGGTGGCGTATACCCGGAATGTGGAAACGATGTGAGTTATTGGGAGAAAGAGTGTGAGCTGTGCAATGAGGACATTGAAGCTATACTCTGCAGAAAGTCCATATGCTTATTACCTATAGATGATACAATATTTAACGTTTTCGTCATGCAGTGGTCAATAAAGCCTTCAACAACTCCAAAGCAAGTTACTCTCACAACAGCAAAAAATATTTGTACATCTATATTTCTCTAAACTCATAAACAGAATAAGTTTCGTATCCAGTACCACCTCAACGTCGACAACATCGCCCCTGTCTACTCTGTCGTCCTCACTGTCGTCTCGATTATCGTTCCAGCATTTTCGAGCATTTTCTGCACGTATGACGACTTCTAAAATATATCTTTAATCGACATAAACCCCTAGTACAAAAGGGTAAAAAACCTGTACGTCAGTCCTTTCTGTAGGCCCAGAAATCACTCATGTCAAACACGTGCTTTTTTCCGGAAGTATTAAAAAACAAGGCAAGAAAAGATAATTCTAATGTAACGTTTTTGACCTGGAACATAACAAGTGAGAGGCGTCCGTAAAATATTGCCTCGCAGGGGCAAGACAGCAAGGTGAGGTGGGGTGAAATTGGGTTTAACGTCGCGTCCAAGATTATTGCACTTATATAGTGACGTGCATGTACGTGTATGTGTTTGTGTGGCTGCTTGTACTAGTCCGGACTGATGCCGATTTATAGTGCTAGCTCACTGAGATACCATGCCGCAGTTTAACATGAATATCCCACTCAGACACAGTTTACTGACTCCGAGCCGACCAGTCCTTGTTTTAGCCCCTTAATGCCGAGCGCCAGACAGGGTAACAACAAGTATCATCTTTAACGTCTTTTGGTATGACGCGGCCGGGGATCGAACCCCGGACCTTCCGCTCTCCGTGTGGATGCTCTACCACTATACCACAGAGGCGGTCAAGACAGCAAGGATGTACAATGTATGTTCTTGTATATCCCAACATTCAACTTAGTGCCTAGAACACATGACTGTGTCGTACAGGATGTTGCATGAACATAGATATGAAATAGATTTGACAACGGAAAACATCATAACCACGTACTTCAGTTAGTTTCAAGGTGGTTCCCGGTTTTGATTCAGTGTTAACTTCAGCCTGAACAAATATTTGGACAATCAAAATAGTGGAAGAGATTCTGTAATTCATTCTTTTTAATCAAATCAAAACTAAAGTATAAACAATATCAGTTTGACAGAAACGTTAATGAATGTAAACCGATATGTTCTTCTCCGGTTGAATTTAGTTACTGACTTTTGCAAACACTTTTGTTTGTATAAATCCTTGCCCTGTAACTTCAGCAACATGTAGCAAGAGTGAGTGAGTTAGATTTGGCGCCATCTTTATCGCTGGCGTAAATATCTACACACCCAAGGGCGCCAATTATAGTGAGTGAGTGAGTGAGTATGGTTTAACGCCGCTTTTAGCAATATTCCAGCTACATCACGGCATTTTACCCATTTTGGGAATCGAACCCAGGTTTTCGGCGTGACGAACGAATGCTTTAACCACTAGGCTACCCGTCCGCCCTATAGCGAGAGAGTTCAATGAATATTATATTGACATGTTCCATAGATACGAATTTTAATGCCCGTGCTATGGCATAATGAAAGGTCATCAATATGTTAGGCTCCGACGTGATGCAAGGATAAAAAGTTCACGGATTCGATGAAAGCTTTGAGCAGCTTATGGCGCTGACAACCCAAAATAATAAATACTATCATGGTATTCTTTAACCCCAAGGAAATGAAACGGAAACCCAGCGACGTAAACTATTAGTCGCCCGTGTCCTCAAAACATGACAAAAGTTAGATAGTTTGATATATGAAGAGAAGATGCATGTATAACACTGACATTGCTATCTTATCAAGTGCATGGAATTATATTAGTTTTGTTTCTTATAAACAATGTGTATCTCAATTGATCACTCTCTGCACAATCTTACCCATGAAGATCCGGGTCAGAATAGGTCTTCAGCAACCCATGCTTGCCATGAAAGGCAACTATGCTTTTTGTAAAAGGCGACTAACGGGATCGATGCTCATGATGACAATCACTGGATTGTGTGGTCCAGACTCGAGTATTTACAG